TCATCCCACATAGAACTTCGGAATTACATGAACGCTCTAGTGTCAGCGCGAGCTGCGTAACGGAACTGACGACTTTTGCGTTCTGGCGCGCCTTATCGGCCCTTATCAATCGTTATCAGTTTCTGGCACCCACCAACAATGTCCCCGTCCCACCCCACATAACACTTGTAAGTATGGTTGCTCTGGTGTCAACGCGAGCCAGGCAACGGAATCGACGACTTCAGCGTTCTGGCGCGCCTTATCGGCCCTTATCAATCGTTATCAGTTTCTGGCACCCACCAACAATGTCCCCGTCCCACCCCACATAACACTTGTAAGTATGGTTGCTCTGGTGTCAACGCGAGCCAGGCAACGGAATCGACGACTTTTGCGTTCTAGCGCATCTTATCAGCCATTATCAGTTGCTATCGCTTCCAATCATGTACCACCAATGTCCCGGGACCACCCCACATAACACTTGTAAGTATAGACGCTCTAGTACCAATATGAACGACAAAACGAAATTGGCGATGCTCGCTTTCTAGCCCCTCTTATCAGCTATTATCAGTCGTTATCAGTTCCTATCACATACCACTTGAGTCCCCATCCCACCCCCTATAACATATGTAAGAACCATGGCGCTATCGTTGCTGTGACCCGAGCTACGAATTTCGTGACAAACACACACACACAGACATACTTAGCGAATTAATCACTTCATTATATAAACCAGAAGTTTGGTGTGTCGGTTTGTTTGTGTGTATGCACGTCTGTCTGTCCGTCCGCAAAATGGTCGACTAGAGGCGAGAGATATCGTGATTGTGATAACATTTTCCCACCAGTAGATAAACAACCATCCAGTAAGGTCGAATTTATCACATACCACTTGTGTCCCCATCCCACCCCCTATAACATATGTAAGAACCACTGCGCTATCGTTACTGTGACTCGAGCTATGAATTTCCGGTCAAACACACACACACACACACACACACCACCAACAGACACACGCTAGCCGCTTATATATAGTAGGATTTCCATTGTCAGTTTGCCTGTTGTTACTGATCTGAGCGTTAAGGATTTGTGAATGTTCACTGCTATTGACATGGCAAGGTTTATTTACCTCTTCCGAAGATGTATCATACCAAACTTCAGAAGTTTTGAAAAATAAATTCGCCCTTTATCAATCGAATTCAACGAATACAACTGATAACAATTCAACAAAATTAATTATCAACAATCAATCATTTAACAACAACATATACAACAATCACCAGTATGGTATGTAATGAGCACAAATATTTCGGCTTCCTGAGTCATGGTCACAACAGGAGAATAACGAAACCTCATCTCGCACACGACGACGACTCCCTCATTGGTTTTGCACGACCGCTCTGAATGAGAACCTGTTTACAAAAAGGAATTCATATAAGTGAAATCCTGTCGTCACTTACTTTGAAAAGAACAACACTATTGGAACGACAACAAGCGAAACGGCAAAACAAAAACCTGAAAAGTCAACCAGTTAGAACTTAAGAGATGGAAAAACCATCGAAATTCTTACTTGAATCGGGAGCTCATACAGCTTTTGAGGATGACGCTCCCGTATCGTCAGGTAAAACGGGTTCCCTAGTATTCATCCGCACATTTTGGGCCACAGCGCTCAGTCTTTGAGGGAACTCTCCCTCCGATCTCATGAAACCCTGCCGCACATATTGAAAATATATCATCATTACAGGTCTCTCCCTAAACTGCACACCTTGAATACAGTTAGCACAGCTTCAAGCATTCTTCGCTGACTTGCCATTAATTCTTCGTATGCTTTCATCTGCACGCAACACATGTGGGTCCACATATCGAACATCTTCTTTTCGCTCTGAACATATCTTAGACACTTCGTTGGCGGAGAGGGGCTTAAACGTTTCCTCACCTCCAGCATGTCCTTCTGTAGCTGTCTGATTTCAGCTTGGGACACGCTGTGTCGACTTGGTAATCGCAATTCGTCCCCTGAGCAGCCAATTTCTTCCTCTATAGGGATCTGCAGGAATCCACATAAAGTATCGATACAGCGCCCTTTGCATAAAAAAGAAGTACCTCCTGTAGAAATTTTTCCACTTTCTTTTCCTTCCATTGGGTATCATCCATGACTTCGATGTCATCATTATCAACAACTTCCTCTTGGTCATCCTCGCCCAAATGATACGTCTCCACGACCCCGTCTTTTTTATACGCTGCCGTTTGGGTGAAATATTTGTATATGTCGGCATCTTTCTCGGTCTGCTCCTCCCTTGCTTGCTTCAGTAATTTCTCCAGCTCCTCCACTCGTCCCATTCCGGTTTGACTGTGATATCTGAGCAAAGCTCTGTCATGGAACACCTAACTTGTTGTTACTGACGAGATTCATTCTTACACTCACTTTTTTTCAACCGTGTCCGGCATCATTACCCTCTTCTTTCGATTGCTAAAGTGAGTTTGGATCTGTAATGGAGTCAAAGTAACTCCAAATTTTCTCCAGATGTCCGATGCGATGCACTTCCATAACTCCTTGCGCGTCGAATTTGAAGACATAAGCCGACTTTTATTTACTTTGATAAGCAGGTCATCGTTTTCGAAAACCTTGCCCACTATATAGTCTGATACCGCGAGGGGAATCGGTGCAGTCCTTTTACGATTATCCATCGTCTAAATTGCTCCACTCAGGAACGAGCATGCAAAAAGAGAAAGCTCTGTAGAAGCTAGAAGAGTACGTACAGTAGAATTTCTAGCTCGTCCATGCACATGTGGAAAGTGCACTTAGCAAAGCAAAACCAAACAACATTATACACAAGAGCGAATAGGAAACATTCGAAGAAATAGCGCATATGAAAAGTGAAATGGCCTAAAAAACGACGCAACATCTTCTCGCTCCCTGCCCTCCGTTGCTGTCGCCGTCGCGCACTCTCCCCATTCGTGCACTCACTCCCTCTCCTATTCCATCTGCGTGGCGCCAGGGTGAATAACGGTCGAGGATTTCCTCGACCATAGCTCTCTACCATGCGAGAGTAGTGCCGAGAGTGAACATCCGCGCGGAGAGCACAGACGGCACGCATGGCGAGTGTGAATGTCCGCGCGAGAGATCGTCTCTGATCGGGCAGAGAATCCTCGACGTGCCGTTGAGGAATCCTCAAGCGATATTCACCCTGCCCGCTATACTTCCGCTCTAAAGATCGCCATCCCTAAAAAGTGCTCCGGAGGACTTTTTAGAGATGGCGATCTTCAGAGTGGCAGCATGACTGCGTCCCCACCTCTCGCGCACTATTTCCACCTTCTCTGCCGCCATCGTTGTTAGTTTATAAATGGCGGCCCTGCCAATCCTCTTACCGACACGTGATGTGATGACCCCGACTTCCCGGTGACTTCCAACTCACTTCGAGCATTCTGACGGGGAATCTTCAGGCTTCTATGCATGTTTCAGGATACATTTGCACGAAGGCTATTGGGAGGTTACCGTGAAGTGATGGCCACATGGTAACTAGCAGTTTAGGCCACTTTACTACCGTTCCAGAAAGTCAGAATAAGCAGGAAACTGGAGCAGCACTATTCATTCCCGCATTACATATGAACGGGAAAAGGAAAAAAATCCAGCGGAACCGAAATTACTTATGTAGATTGAAATATTGAAGAGAAGTCGGTTTAGCGTCCCTGTAACATTCACAATCGAACAACGCTCACAGGAACTCGTCCACGCGACTGCGACCACTGGCGCGGGTCTTCGGACGATTCTGTTGACACGCACCCAACAATTCCAGATGAGTCGTGTCGAGAAATCTTTTTAGTGGGCTGGATAGAGCAGCCCACGAGGAGCACAGATGTGCCTTTGCTGTGGCTCGAAAAGGTGCGACAATGGCGCTAGAGGCCTTGCAAAGTGAGCCAAGGACGGCTAATGTGAGCTACAGGACGAGATACCTCGCGCACACTCCATGACACGCAACGTGATTACGGCATAGCGGCTAGTTGAAATACGCGCTGGTTAGTAGAACCATGCAGCAGGCAAGTCCAGACACAGACATACGTCCCTCCCAAATTTGAGTGGGAAGGGCGAGCGTCCTTGTTTGAGAGCT